GGAGTAAGCGAGTTACAAATGAATGTTACTCAATCAGAACAATTTACAGGCACTCCGCATCCAAAGTAGTACTCTTCGTTAGGCACTTAAGTGTTGTAGGGACGCCATTTTCGATCTTAATGCCTTTATTTTTAAATTCAAAATGAGTCAGTTAGGTAATTTAGATGAGTTTAATGAGAGCCCTGAACACGAATTTTGTTTCTTTTTAATTGGTAATGTGATATCATATTTTTGTATTTTTGTTTTTGGGTCTTTTTGTATGGGTGTAAGATACGACTGTTATAAAAGGGTGATGAAAGGATATTTCTAATTAAAAATATATTTAGTCCATCAGTTATGTAATGAAAAGTATTGAAACTGTATTTTTTTAATTTCATTATGTTGTACTAGAAAATTAAATTAAATAACTTCATCTTTGGGAATAGGATGTGGCTTCATTCAATCAATATACAGTCAAAAATATTTGATTATTTAGGAAACAATCAGCGTTTAATATTTTTCATTTAAATGATGAGATATACTCGTAATCTTGTTTTATTAGATACTTATATAGACATATGGGGAATTGTAGAAATGTAGTGGCGAGTTTGATTCTTAGATCAATTTAAAAACATAAATATTTTTAACTATAATTCATAAAGGAAGCGGGCTTGTTTATCTTAAATCGTAAATTTATCATGGCATCATGGTCACCCGGACTACCATTTAAGGCTCCGCCTATTAAGCATGAGAATGCGAGTTCGAAACCTGTCAATTACTAAATTGACACTTCCGAAGATATGTATAAGAATATTTAGACTTCTAAGAATGATACTTTTTAAAAATATTAGACACCGCTGTAGATTTTGTGTCACAAGATGGCCCTTTCTCAGAAGTAAAAAGTGATACGCGTAAATATCATTATTATATATACCTTATATAATAATGATATTTACCCTTATACTCTACCCTTATCCTTAAAGTGATTTAAAATAAAAATTTAATATTTTATGAAATTAGTTCCAAGACTCAATTTTACAGCGTTTAAAAATATTATTTACAGAGAAAAATATAGTTATCATTTCAACGCAAGCTTCCCTCTCTCTTAATTCTATTTTGTTTCGCCCAGAAGTTGCTTCTTGAAGTATAAATTAGTTTCGTCTTTCGATTTTTTTCATTTATTCTGCAAACAGACGTTGGAGTTTCAGTTTTCATTAAATGTTGTTTTATTTGATGATAGACTTCAGTATCAGTTTTTTAATTAAAATAAAATAAGTAATTCGTTCTTAATTCCATATTCTCCAATATTATAAGTTTTCTTAACTATTTTTGTATGTAATAGGTCGGCAAACGAGCAGACGGATTACCTGGTGGTAAGCAATCAGTGCCGCCCACGGACACCAGCAACGGAGGAGTTACGAGTGCGTTGCCGACCTTTTAGGAATTAGGGATTTGGAGATTTAGAAACCTCACTCACACGGCGAAACACAACATTGTGGTTGTTTCACGCCGGTTTTCTGTGAGGCCTTGGTATCACTCCGGTCGAGCCGACCCATTCGTGCCAAAGCATGCATACTTAAGACTAGGATAATTAACCACTAAATGACTCTGCAGTTTCTGGGCAGTGATCTTTACTTCGTTTTAGTTTTGTTGGTGATTGAGCATCGTTGAAGGCAATCGGTGAATCCATAGTTCATGGTATTTAACAAATATTAGAGTTTGGTTTATCTCTGCTTTATTTTATAACTAGCTTTTGCCTGCGACTCCGTTCGCGTGAAATAGTGACTTCCTGCAGATTTTTGGTAAAAAAACTATCCCACGTCCTTTCTCGAGTCCCAAACTATGCCTCTACCAAATTTCACAGAAATCGGTTCAGTAGTTTAGGCGTGAAGAAAAGACGGACAGAGAGACAGACAGAACTACTTTCACATTTATAATACTAGTATAAACGTATAGATGTAAAGACAAGCTAAGCAATATTTAATATTATATCATAATGAATACTGACTGGTAACGATCAGTTTACCATATACGTACACGTTAGCACCATGATTATTAATAAACGAAAAATAACAAATCATTTACCGATACAAAAAAGTTATTTAAACAATACAATTTAGAAAAAGACCGTTCGAATCATTTCTATGGACTCTCATGACGTTGAATTTAACATATTATTTGCATAATCATGTATCAATTGTCCCATGATCGTATTATATACATGGCTATACATATGAAGCAACATATCCTCCTTTGTGAGGTAATCGAGTGGCAATTATCCGTGAATAGATAATATTCAACATATCCGTCACAACGCATCTGGATGAACAGATATTGTGACGGATAAGCCTGTGTATAAACTCTAGATGCTTGGTAATTATTATGACAATCAATCTATATTACCCTGAATACTGCAACAGTCATACAAAGGCCTTTTCTCACACGGATAAGTCATTCTACTACTCACTATAAAGGCTTAGGAAAATAATGATTGATTCAATAAGAAACATGGCAGCTAATGTTACTCTAACTAACTAAATGGTATTAATAAATTACTACATAGTATAAAACTAAGTCGTTTTTTCTATATTGTATGCTTAAATCTTTAAAACAACGCAACGGATTTTGATGCAATTTTTTATGAATGCAGTAATTGAAGTGGAAAGATTTTATGTATAATAAAATCATTCATTAAATAGTGAATACATTTAGTATCAACATTGCAACAGTGCAAGTCCGGATTTTCTTTGGTCGCTAGTATTATGTATAATCATAATTGTACATTGAAAGGTTTAGGACTCACAGTCGCAAACCCGACCGTTTCACACTTTTTACACTGTCTATAATATGAGAAGTAACCAAGGTACTGTCTATCTATATTATGTAGGTATATTAAAATAAATCTTGGGTAAACAATGAATGGCTTGAACGTCTCGACCGATTTCGATAACTCTTTTTATACTTTGTCTGCTAAATTCAGAATAAATTTCACTCACTCTCAAGTAGAGTGGAACACCAGATGTTAGCGTCTTTTGATGCCGTAGCGGTTTGCTATCAAAACAAATGACTATCACCCGTTCTAGCCAGGGCCTCTAGTGACTTGTTAAAAATGGGAAATGAACAAAAATATGAAGTACTAAATAGAAAATAAAATACTGCCATTTATTAATCTGACAATCAAGCTAAAACGAAGTAGGTACTGAACTGAACTGCCCACTCTAATATAATTGGGAAAACGCCAGCGAAAAATGAAAATTTATTGACGTAAATCAACAAGTGATCCCCTGTTACATCCATCGACGTGGCCAGAGTAACTTATTTATGAAAAACGGAACGAAACGTGAAAAACAGATAAATTCCGTTTTTATCTCGCACGAAAAAAATAACTTTGTGAATTTGCAAAATGCTTTTATGTATTTTTTTATGAAAAACTTTTTTAACACTCTGCTCCAAGTTTATTTGATGTGGTTCTGTGTTTTCTGCGAAATACCTTTTACAGGGTGTAATGGCTAACGTGTAGCTTTGGGATAAATTTAAAGTAGGCTATGAGGTTCTGGATTTTTTTTTATTACTAGCGAATCACCCCGGATTCGCACGAATGCAATGCTGATACCAAATTTAAAAAAAAAACAAACCACATCAAAATCCTTTGTATAGTTTTAAAGATTTAAGGGATATATAGGGATACAGGGGCAGAGTAAGCTGCTTTGTTTTTTGTCATGTATAATTATAAAATTGGCTGGTATTTTTGGAAACGTTTAGACCTAGATCTTATGAACGCTCCTGATAAAACCTGGTTTTCAAAAACTCTTTTTAATTAAACATTTACCTATATGATAATAATAATTGATTTGTTAATAAACAAAAGCAGCAAGACTTCAATGACTTGTAACAGTAGTAGTATTTTTTTGGATAAGGAACAAATACTGGTCATTTTAATATTATAGTGGTAAGAGTAGTTTACTTTTTATTTTAGAGTTACTAAGGTAATGGCATAGGTACTTACAGATACTGATTTATTCTTGCATGTAGTTATTGCTTTTGTAAATATGTCTTGTGAGCATAGAAGTCAAAAATATGTATTTTGAATAGTTGTTTGTATTAAAAAGTTATCCTGTTTTGACTCTTACCAAAGTGTATAAAATTTAAAAGGTCTTTTTGACTTAAAAAACAAACTCTTTTAGCATAAAATAATCCTCAAAGGCGCCATCAGTCATTCAAATCCATCGTCAATCCCGTTAAATCAAAGAATCTAATCATTTGAATTGTAAATTCTATACCATTAGCATAAAGTACAAAATTCACTGAAGCTTTAGTGGTATTCATTTGACAGCGAAATCAAATCACATTGATGTTTTAAGCCGGTACACAACTTTGTTTTTTGAATGAATAATAAATTTATGATTTGGTCTTTTTGTTGTTGCTGTCTTTTATTTAGAAATCTTTGCGGAAATATTGAAAAAAGAACGCGTGAATAAAAATAGTCTAATACGAAATATGAAAAAAAAACACATAATAATAAAATGTAATTCAAATTTCTTTCGGAATGTGATGTACAGTTTTCCGCGATTACCCATTCAGAATGAATGCATGCAAAAACCTTAATGACATTATCATCATTGCAACAGGCATGGCTCCACCCTCTTGTTCCATTTAAACCGTCCGTACACAACATACAACATACAACATCAAATGTGTAATCAACGCTATAATTATGTCCATGTTATTGAATGTCTTCAATGTGTTCATCCAATTATCGGCATTGTGTTATTGTAGGCGCTCCATACAGTTGTCCATAGTTTATGTGACGTTGACAGTGACCTAATTCGTGTGAACTAATCAGATTGTCAGATTTATATTACAGTGTTGTATTTTAAAATTAACTGCCGAATTGGGCTACTGCGCTAGCTTGCTTTCATAAAACATGACCAAATAAAGCATAATACGTGTTACATGTCCATCCATGTACCCATGTGTATGTCAATGTGTAGTCCTCATACATTATGTGTTGTGTTGCACAGCGAGCCTGCCCCGTCAGCAATGACAGCACTGCATCAGTTTGGGGCAGAGATGTTGCGTCTATCTCGCGGCTTGGAAGCTTCTGCGGCGACAAAGCCACAATACAGAGGGTATATAACAATTGGCATTATTTGTTCGCTTCAAAATTAACCCGCTCATCATTGGCTGATCGAAGGACCAAAACTTCATCGTTATATCGAATATGTTGTAATACAATTTTATTTTACAGGACGAACATATCTGAACGTGGTGGGATGCTCACTCCAGGGTCTCTGAGCGTTTCATCGAGTTCACCATCGTCGATGCTCCAAGACCGACGAAGACCATCGTCTACTGGAGAGCCAAACACTCCGCTTCATAGGCCAAGAAGTGCGTCTGATGATGAAAGTAATGAAGGTCTCTTAGCTCCCGCAGCTTTAACCGCAAAATCGCGTAGTTCAGAAGACGGTCTACTTTTGCCGCCTCCGTGTACGTGTCCATATTTCGGTTCAGAGTCTACTCCACCTAGACGGACTACCGAAGTAATTATAGTTCCTGGTGGAGACATAAATGGATGCAATGGGTATCCAAGGAACGGGAACATGAAAGAAGAACAGTCAACTCCATTTTTTAGAAGGTCTAGTCGTGGTGCTGCTTCTATGGTGACTTGGGACGAAGCGAAGCGATTTCGCAGAGGTTCAAGTTTCGGGGGTGCTAGGACTACACTTTCCACTCCGATCCGCAGTATACGTGCCCAAAGAACTATAGCTAGATCACAGCAAGTGACCGCTAGTCCACAACGCCAAACACCTAGGACGCATCATTCTAGAAATTCAAGTGTTATTTCCAGAAATTCCTCCCGTCACGGAAGGATCCTGCGGTTAGAGCAAAAAGCAACAAATCTTAGGAGTTGTATTTTTCACGTTTGTAATTCTGTGGGCTCCATTTTTCATTCTGAATATGGTGCCGGCTGTGTGTCCTGACTGCGAGGAGAGAATCTCGCCATGGGTGTATGACTTTGCCTTGTGGTTAGGTTACGCCAGTTCGATGGTGAATCCAATATTCTATACGATATTTAATAAAATATTCAGGCAGGCTTTTAAGAAGGTCCTTATGTGTGGGTATTGGAAGTCGACGAGGTAGCCGGCACCCTGGGAGCGCGTTCGCCCGACTTCTGATCCTGGTATCGGAGCGCTCTCAGTCAATAGGAACATCCGATCTCAATTTGTATAAACTCATAAAGAGCTTTAAGTATTACGCTTTTAGTTTTTAGAAATGCATCAGTGGTCTTTAGTTAAGGACATTAATTATAATCAAATCCGATGCACCAGTTCAAGAGGAGTATAAAATATTTGTCTACGAATGAATTTAAGCTTAATATCCTGCTAAAATAGTAGATAACAATGTACTTGGTGGTTTTTGTAAAGTATATTTAAGTAATGGTCGTTTTTTTATATATCAAATTTCACAGTTTAATAGTCATAAAATTCGTAACACTTCGTTGTCTAGGTTTCATTGTCTTGTCACGCTTCGGCAGGAATAGTCGGCTTCACATCAGCGTTAAACAATGCTTGTGTTGTGTTTTCCTCTTCCCATCTTCAAAGCCCCTGATCTCTAAAGTTACGAATGTTTATCGACGGCACCGATGAATTAACATTAGATGACACCCTGCTCCTTTGCCGACCTGCCCTTTAAAAAGGTATTTAGTAACTGTTTATAAATTACACAGAACTGTCCAGGTACCCCTCCAATTGCTTCGTTTAGCTGTTATAATCATAGGTGCTGTGATTATAGTATTAATTTTCTATTCCACGCACAAATTAATAGAAGTATTTACCCCCATTCTGACCTCGATACCCTCAATTTGCAAAGTTAAACATGTTTTTGCTTTTCAAAGAACTAAACATAATTATTTTATTTATTATACATGGAAAATACTGGGAAAAGGGAATACCTATATAGAAACGGTTAGATCATTAATTTAAAGTAAGTAAATATATTCTTGTTTATTTATCATAATTAGGTAATATTATTACGATTCGAATTGTTGACAGTGATTTGAAAGATTCGATTTATTTTGCGAATATATTTAATATTCGCATATTTCATTCGCAGGTTTTGTCAAATAGTTTTTATGTCATTTGAGTAAGTATAAATTTATTTTAAAATGTAATTATTATTAATTGTGTTGCTAAAATAAGTTATGGTATAAAATAATAATTAAGAAATTTATCATTTATTTTAGATTTATGAGTTTTTATTTTTAAATACTTTATTCATTTAAGTTTCTCTCTACGAGTATTGCTGTACTATGAGACCCAAGAAATAAACAAATTAATTTCAAGACTGATTCCTTTAGAAAGTACTTAGATCGATTTCTTGTTTTTTTCAAACAGTGCTTTGATATGAATGTGTGCAAGATAGATGTATAAAAAATAAATGAGTCGCGATAAATTATGAATATGATTAATGGTGTACGTTCGTTTTACAAAACATTAAATAAGATGCTTTTAATGTTGAAAAATTGGTAACTTTGGCATTAAAAAGGCTCTATTATATTGCTTACTGCCGCACTCAAAGTCGTTTGATTACTTTATCTAGTTCTTGGTTATAGTTTTTTTGAATAAAGTTTTACTTGTGATTGGTTTAAGTGATCGTTATAAAAATTCTAAGTTATTCAGTTAATATTTTTTTAATCCCGAACTCCATTCGTGGCTGTCTTTATAGATAAGTATTCTATTTTATTTTAATAATAATAGTAAAAATTTAAATTCTTTTTTGTATCTATTTACAAATATTATTTTATGAGAATTCGATACACTCCAAGAGTGCTGGACGAATCAGTCTATGGTTTTTTCCTTTTGATGGTGTAAACCTTAGGGAGTTTTAGGCCTATTATTTATTATAGTTTTAAGCATAAAAAAGGTTAAAGGTTAAATAATGTTTCTTTTATAATAAAACAAAATGTTTATAAAATATTTATTTCTTGTAAAAGTTTTTTTTTACATATTCTGCAATTTATGCAGAGTCATCGATAAAATAAAAATAAAATTAATAAATAAACATCTACATAGTTTGATCACTGTTGTATAAATTACGTTAATAATTTAAAGAAATGTTATAAATATTGTTTACAGTCCATTAAGTTTGCATAAAATGCTAAGCTTTTCCTAGTCTTGCGTTAAAATAGTTTTAGTAAACCTACTATTGTAATTCAATGTGATGTTATGTAAGTCTAAAGTATACTTTATTACGGTGTGTCATGGATTAAGATTCAATGACATGTATTGTCTTTTGCATCACTAGCCTCCATACTGTTTTTTTCATTAAATAATATCGAATATTATTTAAAATTGACTACAAATTTTTCGAATGAGCTCAGGCCGATAAATTACTAATAATCGTTCTTTTAATGTTACAAAAGTTCCTTTGTTCCTAATTTGAACATTTGTAGTCAAGTTTGAATATAATGAAGAATGTTATATTAAGTTAATAATGATATCTAAATATATAGAAAAAACGTCTAAAATATTTAGGAGCCGCGAACAATAGGTCTGCGTTATACCTACATACATATGATTAATTTTTATATTTTTTTAAATATAACTGAAATAAGTTAGATAGATTCAAAACAAATCTAGTCGATTCACGCAAATAAATAAAAATGTAAATACAACAACTACTATTGTAATAATATTTATATTAAATACCTATTATAAAATGTTAAATGGAATTAATAATCTATAATAAATGTAAATAAAATGATAAATTTATGGCAATGTTTAAAAAAAATGGTGTCAATAATTATGATTTCATCGTTAAAAGTAATAAAACGATTGGATCGTGATTTCTTTTGTTTTATTTAATCATGCAAATATTATTATTTTGCTAGTGAATACTATAAACTATGTGAATTTACCAAATATGAAGACATTTACTTTCGCAGATTATTTAGACACACCAGTTCAATAATATACGGCTAGGAAAAACTCCACGAGGAAACTTTTAATTACAAATTTTAAATTTGGAATCGCCAAAAGTCGTTAAACTAGAATTGAGATTTATGCTTAAACCTTTTTAGTGTGAGAAGAAGTTTAAGTTCACTGGACTTCATTGTTTCGGTTTTTTTATGGTTGTATTTACTAAAAATCCTGGCTGACAAGAATCGCAGAGGTTTGAAAAGTCCCTTTAAAAAGTATTTCTATTCAAAACGGATTAATTGATTAATTATACCATCAGCCTCATTATTTCTAAACATACCAATATTAAAAGGTCAATTATTAATTTGAACCAAATATTAATGACGGAAATGTGAAAGATTACGGACAGGGCACAGAAAATAAAGCCAAAATCGATTTAGTAAGATTACTCGATGAAAGCTAATCAGATTATTGACGAAGCCCACTGGCTGGGCAGACAGAAGTACGGTTAGCGTCGGTAACCGTAGAATAAATCTGATTTTCCATAACGGGAAGCTACTTAAATAAGGAGTATATAACCTTGAGTTTAATGTTGAAATTCGAAAAGTATTATTTCAATTTCAAAATTTTCCCATAAAGTACTAAGTATTGTTTTATCAACTAACCCAGGTTTACTTAACTAAAACCATATTTATATTTTTTATGGACAGACGGATCGCCTGATAGTAAGCAATCTTCGCCATCGCCATTTAAACGTGGAAATAGAAAGAAGATATAATAATATGTATCACTCAAAATTATCCTTTTTGTGAGGGAAAATCATCAAATTACTTCTGCCGCCCATGGTCGGGCGGGACGGAGTGTCAGATTCTTACTCATAAAAAACCCCCCGTTCCTTCTCCTGCTCTGGGGCGAGACCGCGGGTCGCGGTGCCTCATTGCACTTACCACGCAGCTCTGGCTGAACATCTGCCCTATAGGACCCCGTCTGTGGTTGTCTATTGGCTCTTTGAGAGACCTAGCCATAAGTTGACAATGGCCCATTAGTGGCAATGCATGGCTCTCCCATTTTTTTATTTAATTAGGTTTGATCTATCGTTAGACTGCTATGTCGCCTGGTGATAAGCAATGTTGCAACCTACGATGGAGCACGCCTATGCATGAGCAACCTATTATATTCACTCGAACCTTGAAAACATCCAAGTTTTAACCTTCGAGAAACACAGACTCCGGCAAAGAATGCTTTCACTCCTTATTAGTTCTTATGACAAAGCAGGAGGCGAATTGCTTTACGCATATGGGTGAAATATCCACCAAGACGCGGGAAAATTTTGCCTATACATGCGCCCTTTAAGGCCGAGCGATGATCTCCGGCCACCGTAAGCGTGGGTAGGACGGTAGGTAAGGGTAGCTTGCTGCCCGATTAGTACCAGACCCGAGAGTAAGGCGCGCCTCAAAGAGCCAATAGACCACCACAAACGGGGCCTGATGTTCAGCCGGGGTTGCGGAGTAATAGCAATGTAGCACCGCGGCCTCGACCTTAAACAGGAGAAGAAAGGGGGATGGGGGGTTTGTCAGTAAGAGTCTGACACTCTCTCTCGCCTTACCCTGGGCGGGAGAAATCATTTGATGATATTCCCCTGACAAAAAAAAAATCACCTATAGGAATAAAGATTTATAGTATATTTTTCCAGCTATTATTGAGGTGGTTAAAATCAACTTTATTTTAAATTCATAAGACGGTTCAAAAAACCGACAAAAACAGTCTTCATACATTGGTATCCTACGTCCAAAAGCCAACCCTTTACAGCGCAAAAAAGAGCATTTTTGCGAGTTAGTGGTATTTTCCGCTCGTCTTTGAAGCTTCGCTTTTCTTTTATGAAAATTTTATCAAATGTTAGCTTCGCATGTTCCCGGGTATAGTGCAGTTACAAAGGAGAACGGTAGCCAAAGTTATTCATGTCCATTCGGAATTCTGAGCCTTTTCGTTCCGCGGCTTAAGAAGAATGGAGTATTAAAATTTTCATTTCAAACTGATATTTTAGTTTTGTTTTGTGATTCTTT